TTATTCATGTTTCAAGTTAAGATGTTTGTGGTAATTTGATCTTTCAAGAATGACACTGGCATTTAAAATGGACATGATGGTTTGTCGAACCAAAGATACCTCAAACATTATGAGAAAGTTATAGTATTCAGTTTCGCTGAGGCATTTTTCTGAGTTTGATAGGGTTCCTGAACTAATGTAAACTGTCCATTTGCTTCTGCTAACATGCATTCCTCCTCCCCTCCCCACCTCCTCCCATTTTCATTGTTTCTTATATAATCATGCAACCTTGGATAATTTCGTGACATTTTGAAGACGCAAAATTTATAGCAACATCAAGTTGAGCTACTAGAATTATTATGTAAAGCTTATTGATGCAATGCAGTAGAATGATCTATGTATAATAATGAATGGGTTTGGTTGACAAGGTGAGAGTTGCGGACTTAATTGATGACGCTGTACCCCTTTCGCCAACTCCATCAGAAGACAAATCATGGGGGTTAAACGAAGAAGATGCTTCTGATAGCTTGACATTTGAGGGGGATATGGATGCAGCAAAGCATGACAGTAAGCTCCACCAGTCAGAGCATACAGAAGAAAATGAAGAAGTTTCACACCGTGGCTTTGATACAGAGAATGGTTTTGCAATGAAATCACAAGACGTTGAGGGATCTACCTCTTCCGAAACAACAAAGGATGAACTGTAAGAAAGGCGGGAAAATAGTTTATAAGCTTGATTTTCGGTCCAGTGAAATCATAATTCCTTGATGAAGGTGTCGAAAACTAGTCTGTTTTGCTTGAGACTAGCAATGCGCACTGGAACAAACTAAACTCTCCGATACCAATATTCTTTGTTTCAGGAAACAGAGCGAGGAGTGATAATCCTTTTTATCAAACCACATGCTTGTATATTTTTTTCAATTCTTTGTTTCCTGAAAATGTTGACCCCATTTAGTGCGGGTAAGGCTTTGTTGTTGTTTCCTGACAATGCTCGAGAAATATAAGATAGAATGCTTTAGTTTTAGTGGTCTTTTCTTTTGTTCCTATGTCTTAAACCATGTGGTTTTTACTTCCACCAAACCAAAAACAAAGGTGCACTTGGGAAAAAAAAAAAGAAAAAAAAAAAAGAAAGAGAAATGATATACCCACGCTTTACAGCTTCATACACACTAGCGGTTAATGTTGTTCAATCTCATCATTTGGTTTATTCAATCTAACGGTCATAATTAAAGAAAGGTGTGTGGACAATTAAAAATGGTGTGCATGAGAATTACATGCAACATTATAAATCTGACGGTCCCAAAAAGTTCTTTCCTATCCACCCACAAAATTGAAAGAAAAAGGAGAATTTTCTAAGCATTTCCCATGAAGGGGAGTGTTGGAATTAAGTAGAATTGGGTTTTGATCGGATACTTGAGAAGGAAGAAACCAACTGTCAGTTTGAATTAAGTCTCCAATTGCTAGTTTTTAGTTTGCTGCTTTATAGTTAAGGTCATCTCTAACCGAAGGGTCCAAAGGGCTAGAGGGCCAAAAATAGCTCGAAAACCGTCTCCAACCGAGGGCTAGGCCAGAGGGCTCATGGGCCCCACGGAATCTGAAAGGGCCAAAGGGCCAACCGGCTGGCCTAATCCAACCAGCTAGCCAGCCCCGAGCTGGGCCAGAAATTCTAGCATTCCTGTCGGATATAACCGACAGGAATATATTCTTGTTTGTTATATTTGACAGGAATTCTAGGCCAAATTTCAAATGCAACGACTAGCTGACGTCAAATAGCCGTTATTTTTGAATTTTTTTTTTTTACACAATTTTTTCCCATAACTTCTATTTTACAAAATTTATCTTATATTTTTTCTAAATTATATTTTTTTTTCCCTATAACTTCTATTTTACAAAATTTGTTTCATATTTTTTTTAAATTCTATTTTTTTCCCTATAACTTTTATTTTACAAAATTTGTTTCATATATTTTTTAAATTCTATTTTTTTTCTTATAACTTCCTAAGCTATTATACAACATTAAATTAAATTAAGTAATATGGCGTCACTTAGTCGTCACTTAGCCAATTGATTTGAAATTAAGTGACATAACTTCTATTTTTTTTCACTTATGTTTCATGCTGACGTCACTTAGCCGTTGGATTTGAATTTAAGTTGTAGTTTTTAAATAATAAATTATGTTTGGCTCTATGACCCTTTGGCCCTCGGTTGGAGATGGGTTTTTTGTGACAGGGCTAAAACGAGCCATATGGCCCTTTGGCCCTCGGTTGGAGATGGAGGCAAATACTGTTCATTAAAATATTAATATCTTGGAGGGCTAGAGAGCTAAAACGAGTCATCTGGCCAGCCTTCGGTTGGAGATGGCCTAAGTGAATGCTTAGTCTCATACGACAAGTGTATGCTTCAAATTACTGTTTTAAATCAAAGGCCTCATATTGCTTAGTCTAGTGAAGGACACATATTAGGTCATCTTCAACAGAATGAGATATGTTTAGCCCTGTCCAAATTATAGCCCTATAAAAAATTATTTTTTTAATGAACAGTGCTAGACCATGTTTATATACCATCTCCAACCGAAGGGGGCCTAATTATTTTAAGTTTGTTCTTTAATTTTATTGGTTAATTGAATTAAACTACCATATTAAAATAAAATTTCTGGACATATTTGAAGTGTCACTTGTCGCTAAATATTGTTTAAAGTTTCATGTTGTTTAAGTTTCATTGACCAGATTAGACTCATGGTCAAACTCCAAAAGACCTTTGCTCTGCTCCCCAGATTAGACTCATGGTCAAACTATAAGACCCTTGCTGAAAAAGAATCTGATTAATTTAACACAGCAATCCAACGAGAACAAGTAATTTCCTTCCCTTTCTTAACTTTGAATTTCCATATCTTCCAACAAATTAAAACGGTCCATCTCTAGGTTTTATAGTTTTTTTGGTTGCGCATCTATCGTATTCACTTTATTTGATCATTTTAAGATTTTCATAACTATTATTTTAATTTACACTTTTTTTTCACTAAATGTTATTCCTAAACGTGGACCTATTGATCCTACTTGATCGGATTGGTGGTGTTCAATTCAAAGCGTTACTGGATTATATTCATACACATGTAAAAAAGTTAGTACAACACAACAAATTTCATTGAAGGGAATTAGCAAAAGAAAAGAAAAGTAAGTACAACACGACAAGTTTTATTTACTGGAACTAGCAAAAGAAAAGAAAAACAAGTCAACTTCAATGTCTTATTAAGATTTGATTATTGCATTACTATGAGATGTCCAAAGACTTCCATGCCCTTTCTTGGGTTGAACTGACACAACCGACAACTTCCGTCTTCGCCCCTATAATTATTTTGTTACATATTTTGTATTCTACTTGAATTTTCACTTTCGCCCCTATAATTATTCTGTTGCATACTTTGCTCAAATCCGTCAACTGTGACACAATTTTGAATTAAAAACTTGTTGAACTTCAAATCCGTCAACTAAGTTGATTTTTTCCATCCACTTTTGAATAGAAAATGTAGAAATTCTAAATGAATTTGTGGAAAAGGTAAGATGTTATGGAAAGATGCATGGTAAAAATTTACGAGTGGTATAACTGGTAGGGTACCTTTTGTCGGACAGAGACGGTTGGGTCCTTTTGCAGCTGCTGAGGCCCATAAAACGGGCTGGGTACCAGGCCAACTTTGACCAACCCGGTAGCCCTTCGGTCATGTTTTGGATTGTGGGTTTCACTAATTTTTGGTCCAATCATCGGTTGAAGATGGATTTTGTTCAAATCAGGTCATATTTTAGCTTTATAGTCCTTTAGTTATTTCCATTAGAGATGGCCTTAGGATAAGCTTGTATGAGGATATCCAATGTTAGGGCCATGTTTACCCTCGTCCAGATTATACCCATGCGAGAATTTATTTTTTAATGAACAGTGTCAGACTATATTTATATACCATCTTCAACCAAGCCGGTCAAAGAGCTATAGGCCAAAATATAGCCCGTTTTGACACAAAACCCATCTCCAACTGATGGGGACTATTTTTCAGCCCCCTCAATAATTTATTATTTTAAGTTTGTTCTTGAATCTATTGGTTAATTGAATTATATAATCTTAATAATTTTTCGAATATGATTTCGAGTGACACGTATCGCTAAATGTTGTTTAAGTTTCATGTTATTAAATATTTTAATTTTACTTGCATGCTAACAACTTAGACATTAATTCAAAGATCACAATTTAATTGAATTACAACATTTTACATTTTAAAACTACAACAACTTAGAAATTAAAAATTACAACAAATTTGGAGTTTAAAGAGTGTGAAGAATTGAAATAAAATGAGGTAAGATAGTATGGAAGGGGAAAAATACCGAGAGAAATTGTGTAGAAATAGCTTAGGTATTTATAGAGAAAAAAAAATTTTAATTTTTTTTTTTTAAATTTCGTCCTAAAAAAATCAAAATCTAATGACTAGCTAACATTAGCTAGCTAGTGGGCTGTGACAGATTGGGCCCCTCAAATCGGGCTGGCTGGCTGGCTTCCTTTGGCCAGCCCGCAAGCCTCGTGGCTATTTTATGGCCCAGTGGGTCTTGCAAGCCTTTTGACCTTGCTCTCGATTGGAGACGGATTTGTGTCAAAGCGGGCTATATTTTGGCCTATGGCCTTTTAGTCGGATCAGTTGGAGATGGCCTAAATGAAATATTTGTGCTATGCTGCTACAATTAGCACTACACATTCCTCTGAAATTCTCTTGTTCTTGTTCCTTTCAATCCCAGAAATACATCACACAAAATATAAATCAAACACTCAAAGAATTTATCAAATATTGTTGTGAAAATTCTATGTTAGCAGACCCATACTTTTGCCAGAGCTGACTATCACGAGCACCTTTTCGTAGTAAATGGTGCGACAAAATCAATTATGCTGGGATGTGCATGAATGTTATTTTTATAACTATTTTGACCTGACACCTTCATCGATATTGAAATTACTTGGTGCATTGTAGACAAGCTTAGCTGTTGTTCTTTTTTTTTTTTTTTTTTTTTTTGGGTTGAAACATGGATTCATAGAAGAAACCCAGTGCACAAGGCCAAAAGAACACTGAAAGCCAATCGGCTAACCTAGAGGCCAAAAGAAAAAGATAAACAAGACACATAAGACGCCTCCAAGAAGGAAACCAGCGTCAACCCGTTTACCCACGCAAAAAAAACCCCCAACCCCTACATTGGAGGACACGGAAGACCATCATTGTTCAAAATCCCCATGAGAGAAGAGATAGAGGTCTCACAACCCAACCGAAGCCACACATCTCCGGTGGCAAGTTCCTTGCGACAAAGTCAGCCGCCTTATTTGCTGATTATGGAATCCATGACCAGAAGCATGATTGAAAGGTCTTCCTCACCTTCCTTACAAGGCTAAGGATAGGGAGGAGATCCCAATCACAACTCAAAGAGGAAGAGTTAAGAGATTGAATAATAACTTGCTCATCTGCCTCAATCACCACTTCATGTAATTGAAGGTTCTTTGCAAGTATGAATCCTTCTAGTACTACTAAAGCCTCCGCCATCGTCGCATTTACCGCATGAATCCTCATGCAACGCACCGCCCGACAAACCGAGGAACAATCCCTGACAACTGCCCCGATGGAACCGCATAGAGAATCCCTCTTCCAGCAAGTAGCGACGTTAATCTTGATCTTGTTAACTGGGGGAGGAGACCATAAAGAAGGACGAGGAAAACCTGATAAGGGAAAACTCTTGGTAAAGGCCGACATACGAAGAAGGGTAAAGGCCATAACAAAGGAATCCAGAGCAGTGGCAATAACCCGAATAGTTCTGTAGAGAGAAAGGTTGGTCGCATTGAAAACTGCATCACATCGGGCTCTCCAGATAAACCAACAAGTAAACGCCAAGAGTGAAATAACACGGTCCATGTCTTACTTTCTCCCCTGAACTGAATTGACAACTGAGCAAAACAATCTGCCAAAGTGGTGATAGAACTCCGATTAATTTGAAGGCACAAAGGGCCCCATACCACACTTGTGAAGCCCACGGGCAAAGAAGAATGATATGCTCAATGGTCTCATCATGTTTAACGCATATGAGGATGAAGCACATCGTCGTTGAAAGAGATTGAACTTGGTTATGCAAGCATCACAGAAACCCCTCCAAAGGAAACTGCTTTTGGGGGGGGAGGGCACTTTACATCTCTGAATCCAGTCCCACACCCGAGGGTCAATGGTACAAGATGAGGTAGGGTGATCATGTCTAAGTGGGGGATGATTGTTATAGCACCAACAGTGATTGGACTTCATCGAATAGGAGCCATTCCTTTCAAAATGCCAGATTAGCTTCTCAGGAATCGTATACGGCTCGGCATGGATATTTAAAATGGCAACACGGTCCGCCTCCGAAATATAGTCAAAAACATTAGCAAGATCTCAATTCCTCGATACAGGATCAAGGAACTCAGCCATTTTGACTCCGTGCAGATATCTGAATGTAAGGGAGGGGAAGGGTGTCCCACAAGAATGCTCGGGACCCAATTATCCATCCAGAATCTAACTTCGTGCCCACCCAAAATTTTCTATCTAGCTCCCATGAGGATGAGGTCTCTCCCTTCTGGCCCAAGCCCAAGAGGTCCTTCCACCTTTCTTAGCCTCCAGAAAAGAGACATTAGGAAAATAACGCTCCTTTAATACTCGAGCCCACAAGGAATCAAGATCGTGAATCAACTGCCAACATTGTTTTGCTAGCAAGGCAATGTTAAAATCTTTGAAGTTTTGGAACCCTATTCCTCCATCCCGCTTAGGGCGACCCATGTCCGTCCATTTTATCCAATGTATCCCCCGATCTTTGTATGCCCCCGCACACCAAAACCTCGCCACCACCGCATCAATTTCATTGCACACCTTGTCCGGCAATCGAAAAACACACATTGGATACATAGGTATTGCTGCAAGCTCAAGAGGGTACTCAAGAAAGTCGAGAATGAAATTCGACCATATGAATCCACTGAATGTACGTGCAAACATCTTGTTAGCTTAAATTGTTATATATTTACATGAGATAATTTGTAGAAAAAATGTTTTGGGAGGATCTAGAGGGAGATAATTGTTTGCACAATTTGTTTAAATTATAGATAGATATAGAGCTTCTAGCTTAATGGTGACCCATTATCCAAGAAAGGACCAATTGATCTTTCTGAATCCAGTCTTCATATTCAAGATTGATAGTATAGTAAGGTTGCTAGCATCATCCTTGAGAAAGGAGGCAGGCCATTCTGAAGACCATTAATAAAATGCTTTAGGCGGCAACCCTTGAGACCGGGTACAATTTGAGCAAGCCAAAGAGGGTAAGACATTGGGGAAGGTGGAAGAATCGGTGGAAGAGGAGCGTTGGTAGTAGCATCAATGAGAGCAGAGAAGAATTGGACGATGAGTCAAGTGCTTTGATGCCATGGAAGATTAAGCACTGCGGAAAAGAACATCAAGAGGACACAGGTTTTTGGTTAAATTTTTGATAATTTACATTGATCTCAGTACATAGTATTTATACAGTTTTACAGAGGCTTTCCAAGGGTTGACAATTTGCACAAGGAAAGATTCGACAAATCAGTATTTACATAAAGTGATGCTTGATAAGGCAAAATGAATGTGATCATCAAACCATCTTTTAGACAGATGATTTCGTGCTCTGCATCTTGTCTATCAAGGGTATAGTCACCAAGGCCCGGTTAATTTGGTGGGTGATATTGGATTGGAGTGGGTAGATTCAATATACATTGAAGTAAGAAAAGGATGTCAACTTCCAATTCTTATCCTTCCACCTTGATACGATTTTTTTTTTTTTAAAGAAAAAAAAGATTTTTTATTGTAAACAAATAATAAAAATACAAGAGCGGACATGAAGTTCGCAAAAGCACAAACAAAACAGAATATATAGCAACATTGCCGTGACGCTTAGAAACTATGAAAACAACACAAAACTAACTAATAACTGCATTCTAGTTACACAAAATTTCTAAAAAAGACAATTCTCTAAATTATGTAGTAACCGATGCCCACGTAAATGATCATAACTGAATTTGTCCCAAAGTTTATTGACTTTGTAGTCTTCAAAATTAAGTTTGTTTCGTTCTATCCAAATGATCCAAAAGATAGCTGAAACTATACATTCTCACTTAATTTTCTTCTCATTTTCTGATAACAATGTCAATTTTTCTCTACCATAAGAGAATAACAATGTCTGAGTAAAACCCAACTGATATCGTAGCAGGAATGAAAGGGAGAAGTTTCGGAAATTACTAATCCATATTTGATGCAGCCCAGCTGCCCAAGACAATTAATATGGTCTATGTATTAAACATGTTGTTGGTGGTTTTTCATTTTTCAAAGCCATTTTTAATTAGATGTCTAGAAACTATAAGTTTTATTATTAAATATTTATCCTATCAATGTATTGTAATCTCCCTATTTAAAAGGCTCCATATATAAGATTAAGTAGTCAATTGAGTGAATTATAGTTAATCCAAGAAGAGATTGAGTTTTCTCCTTCACAAACCAAGTGTTAGACATGGTCGTGTTGAGTGAATCACGATTATCAATGTGAGTGATTCCGTTGTCTCTGGTTGAGTGGTTTTCAAGTTCTATCCCCGGAGCAACCCCGAGTGAATCTGTTGCTCCTGGTTGAGTGATTCGTAGGTCTATATCCCCCGTTTCCTTGAGACTCCCTTGGTCCTCTACTACGTCAAGTGGTATCAAAGTAGGTTTTCCGCTATTCGTCGTCCCATAGCGACAATCACCTTTTTGATTGGTACTGTAGTAGCCCTTTGGTTGGGTATTGGAGGTGCTCAACCTACAAGAATTGTTCATGATATTTCAACAAGGGCGGGGGTTTTTACGAAACTTCGCCCTAGTCAACAAATAAAATTCAATTAATGAAATAAATTAAAAAAATGGATGATTTGTATATCGCCTTGTATAACCTTTTTGTTTCTTTGCTATTACCTCTTTTGTTCTATTTATATCATACTAAATTTATTATTGTTACTATAGAAGAGTGTCTTTTATAACAACAAAAAATATCGTATGTGAGATTTTTCATCCGTTTGAATATGAAATGGTTGAAAAGAATAGATTGGTTGATTGGAACTCCGCACCAATTTATGATGAGTGCGTAGATGATGACGCCTTTACAATTTATGTGGGAAGCCAAGAGTCTTCTCGGAAGCTTCGAGGTGACCATTTTTCACTTCGTTATTCACCTCAAAGCTACCATGATTGTGATGTTTATGATGCTGCCAAGTATTTGGATGGAGTCATTAATCAAGGACCCCATTTGAAGTGGAGTATGTTTTGTGGGTTTAATATCTTTAACAACCCTGAATTTCCTTTTGGTATGGATGCTGGGATAGATTTGAAATGTCATCCAAAGGATCGAGGAAAAAAGAACGATTCGAACTCGAGGACGAGTTCTTTCCGAGAAGAGGGTATGATGCAGCCCAAGACAACTAATATGGTCTATGTATTAAACATGTTGTTAGTGGCTTTTCATCTTTCAAAGTCATGTTTTAATTAGATGTCTAGAAACCATAAGTTTTAGTATTAAATATGAGAAGTATTATTGGCACTCCAAAAATCTCATTCTACATTCATCGTAAGTGTATTTTTCTTTCCAAATTAGAAAGTTTGAAGTATAGAATGAGATTTTTGGAGTGCCAATAACAATTCCCTTAAATATTTATCTTATCAATGTATAGTAATCTCCCTATTTAAAGGGCTCCATATGTAAGATTAAGTAGCCAATTAGCGAATTAAAAAAAAGTAATCTAAGAAGAGAGTGATTTTCTCCTTCCTAAACAAGTATTTGGCTTGATCGTGTCGAACAAATCTACGATTAACGACGCAAGTGATTCTGTTGCTCCTGTTGAATGATTCCCGGGTATCTAGTCCCGTCGTCCCCAGAGACTCCTTGGTTTTTCCTGCGTCAATATTCTTCTTTGCTTTCCTAGTCGATCATGGTGTTTTCTAAGGCTCTAATCAATAACATGGACACTTTTCTCTTTTTTATTTATCTATTTTATTGTTGATAAGAAACAATTGTATTAAAGAAGAATAAACACAAATAGGACAGGATTTGGGTCCTCTTCTCTACCAGTTACTAAAAAAAGGGGACCCAATATTTGAGTGCAAGAAAGAAAAAAAGAAGAGAGTTGGAGCCGAGTGCTACTGAGAAGGGAGCGGATGTGGGTGGGGGAAGTCCAGGGGAAAATGATAAAACTTGGGTTTAGGCTAGATTGACTACGATTTTAAAAACTAATTTAGATTCATTGCTGCAACAGGTACTCATCGCTGCAATTTGTAAGTGTGTTTCTAGAAAAGCTTACAAAAATCTGAAAACGCGTTTGCCAGAGACTATTACAGGTTGGAAGAATACGCTGTACGCCAATGGAACAATTCAAAAGCATGATTTGGAAAGCTTTGAGCAGGAAATACACTCAAAAAGAAGACCAACATGGGGTCAGCAACAACACTTTCAACCTCTAAAGTGAGGTTTTTTAAATCATATTCTTTTTCATGACATCACACTATTCCACTTAACTCGCAATATTCATGCAATCTCACTTAAAAAGTATGTTATTCTATCATCTCATATATATTTTTAAGTTAACAACCTAGTTCTGTTATATTTATTTTATGAAAATTATGAAGTTGCATGATTTTTCATGCAATTTTCAATTGTGCAGCAACGTGTGGTTTGAAATTTTTAATTACTCATTAAGGGCTCGTTAATTTGGTGGGTGATATTGGATTGGAGTGGACAAATAGTAACAAACTAGATTCAATGTGCATTGAAGTAAGAAAAGGATATCAACTTCCAATTCTTATCCTTCCACCTTGGAAGGATTTTTTTTTTTTTTTTTTTTTTTTTATTTTTTTTTATAGAAGAAGCAAATTTGTATTGCAAAGAAACAATAAAATTACAAGTCCTCTAACCAATAACAGGGACACTTTTTTCTTTTTTATTTATCTATTTTATTGTTCAAAAATAAACAATTGTATTAAGACCAACACCAACCCTTGAAGTAAGTTCTAAATTTTCCCTTCTATTCCTCCTCTAGTTTTCTCCAACCCGTGTTCTAAAATTGGATTAAGTATTAAAACCTAAAAAAAACTCAAATTCCCCTTAAGATTTAGCCCAAAAAACTTAGTGGAGCCCAAAGAATATGGCCCACCCACATGGGACTATCTACCCTGATGTCTGATGGGTAACTGAGCCCAACGGTCCACATTCAAACTTTTTTTTTTTAGTTTTATATTTATATATTTATTGAATTAAATGGTTAAGATCGAATATAATCAAATCTAACTGTAAAAAAAAAAAAGACCTAAATACTCACATTTAAATCAAACGGGCTAAAATAATTTTAAAAAAAATTATGTAACTCAAAATTCACCTAAAAACTCTATAAATATCTATGTATTTGTTCAAACATCCACACAAAACTCATTTTTCTCTTACAATTCTTCCAATTTTTCTTTCTATCATCTTCCAAAACCATTTCTTCCCATTTACAATTCTTCCAATCTCTGTCATGTGTCTCATATTCTTTCATAGTGCTTCATGAGTTTCATGTGTCGATTTAGTAATTTTTCAATAGTTATCGGAATTTAAATATTTTTAGATCAAAAAGTTCATAAAATTAATTTAAAATAGTCTGAATATATATATATATATATATATATATTAAATTAGCTTAAATTTATTCTTTAATAATCTGGAGCTAAAATTTTAGGTCAGAAAGGTTATAGCAGAAAAGTTGTTTATATGGTAAAACCTAAATTTTTTGGGCTAAAAATGTTAGGTTTTACTCTAAGAGTTGGAGATAGTCCTCTTCTCGACCAATTAGTAAAAAGAAGGGACCCAATATTTGAGTGGAAAAAGAAAAAAAAAATCAGAAGAGTTTGAACCGACAACCGAGTACTAGTGAGAAAGGAGCTGATGTGGGTGGTGGGGAAGTCAAGGGGAGAATGGTCAAAAGATAGGAACACACATCTACCTCACTGGCCACCAATGAATTAGCAATAATGCTATCCTTGCTAAACATGCCAAAGTTGTATACCAGTTTTGAGTTTTGAGATTTTTAGTTGAAACTTGAGATTGAAGTTATCAAATTGTTCGGTTTGACATGGTTTCTCATCTGATCCTCGTTTTGGCTTAGCTGGTTTTCTTTGCCCCTGGATATGGATGTCGTTGTAGGCATCATTTTGTCCCCGGCTTTGCAGGTTCTTTTTGACAGACTGGCATCCCCAGTCCTACAAGGGCTTGCTGATATCCTGGGTTTCAATTTTGACATCTTCCAAAGCCTGCAGCATGCACTGGTGCGGGCTCAAGCTACTCTTGAAGATGCAGAAGTGCAACAATTCACCAACAAAACTGTCAGACTCTGGCTGGCTGATCTCAAGAATACAGTTTGTGATGCTGAGGATCTTCTCAACGTCTTTACTGCTAAACAAACTGCCATGATTGACCAAGACTTTGGTAAGCAGACAGTAGAAAGCTATACAGTTCTTACCGATAAAGTCAGGAAGATACTCCAGAAGCTAGAAGTGACTGTAGCTGAAGGATCTTCTAAGTTGAAGATTAGAGAGCCTACTCAGCCAAGGTCAGATCGATAATCGGACAAAAGGGAGACTAGCTCTTTCATCGACTCGAGGATATATGGAAGAGATGATGACAAAGAGATGTTAGTCCAACTGTTGATGTCTTCTCATACTGTTTACCATGAGGGATATACGTATGCATCGTGTATTCCCATCATCGGTATTGGAGGAATTGGTAAGACCACTCTTGCTCAATTAGCATACAATGATAAGGTGGTTATTCAACACTTTGATGTTAGGATGTGGATTTTTGTCTCTTCTGATTTCAATGTCAAGAAGATCATGAAGACAATTATTGCGTCTATAACGAATGATGAATGCAAGTTGTCGGAGATTGAACTACTTCAGTCTCGGATTTGGCAATTGATGCAGAACAAAAGATATCTGATCGTTTTGGATGATGTTTGGACTGAAGACCAGGATGATTGGGACAAACTAAGACCCTTGTTTAGAGAGGGTGTTGATGGATGCAAAATCATTGTCACTACCCGCAGTAAAAAGATCCCATTCATGATGGACTTCCCAAATTCCCCAATGTATTTGAGTGGTTTGACGGATGATGACTGTTGGGCTTTGTTCAAGCAACGCGCTTTTGGACGAGGAGAAGAAGAGAATTATCCGAACCTTTCGCTGATTGGGAAACAGATTGTCAGAAAATGTGGAGGTGTGCCATTAGCAGCAAAAAGTTTGGGAAGTTCAATGCGCTTGAAAAGAGACGAAAAGCAATGGCTGTCTATGCGAGATTGCGAACTTTGGAAATTAGATGAAAAACAGCATAAAGTTTTGCCTGCCCTTATGCTGAGCTATCATCATCTACCATCACATCTTAGAGAATGCTTTTCGTTTTGCTCAATTTTTCCAAAAAATTATGAATTCAAGAAGGAGAAATTAATTCATATGTGGATGGCATCAGGCTTAATTCTACAAGATGGGAGCCGGCGGCCAGAGGACATTGCTGATGAATACTTTGCCAGTTTGTTGTGGTTGTCTTTCTTTCAAGAAGTAAAGGGTGATGGTGGGGCCTTAGTTGGATACAAGATGAATGATGTTATTCATGATCTTGCACAATATGTAGCAGGAAACGAATCTTTGATGCTTGAACATAGTGCAGCACAGATTCGCCATGCATCTGTTGTTTACAAGTACAGGGCAATTGGAATTCCAAAGGAGCTACTTGAAGCAAAACATTTACGAACTCTCTTATTGATTGGGGAATCCGGCTTGTTAAATAACAGAAGTAAAATGTTTTCAAGTTTTGGGTACTTGCGCCTACTAGACCTAAGCAGTTGTGGTGTTTTTGATTTGCCAGAATCATTAGGTGGCTTGATATGCTTGAGGTATCTTGACCTATCATACACACCTATTTTTGAGTTACCTCACAGCACAAGGCATCTCTGCTCTTTGCAAACTTTGAACCTATCTGGTTGTCAGAATCTTATACGGTTGCCAAGCTTGGTAAAGATGATCAGCCTAAGACATCTCAATCTAATTGGATGTGTAAGTTTGGCTTCCATGCCTCTTGAGATTAGAAAATTACAGAAACTTCAAACACTGCCATTGTTTGTGGTTAACAGGATTCCAATGGCCCTTAGTGCGCTGAAACGTTTAAATCTTTATGGAAAGTTGAATGTTACCCGCTTGGAGAATGCAAGACATGGAGTCGATGCAGAGTCAGCTGGATTGAAGTTGAAAGAAAATCTTGAGTCATTAGGGTTATATTGGGGACCACGTAGTGGATTTGAAGACGGTCAAGAATCATTTGGGAAACCTGAAGCCCGACATGAAGCATTTTCTTTCGGATATCAGACCGTGACAGGACAACGTGACACTGTGGAAAAAATTCTTGAAGGTCTAGAACCTCACCAAAATCTGAAAAAGCTGATTATAGATGGCTACCCAGGAATCAGATTTCCTCAGTGGGCTCTCCCAAATCTTGTAGCCGTCAATTTCACCAATTGTACAAATTGTGAGCATCTTCCTGCCCTTGGGAATCTTCTGCTACTCAAGACTCTTTCTCTGCATAGAATGGATGGTGTGAAGAGAATTGGTGTAGAGTTATATGGTGATGGTACGGACGTATGGTTTCCATCACTCGAAGAACTATTAATAAGTGATTTTCCTAACTTGGAAGAGTGGTCAAATGCAAATGGTGGAAGTGCATTCTCTAGATTGAAGAAATTAACTGTCAAAAGGTGTCCCAAGTTAGCACATATGCCATTACCTCAGTTCCTTGAGCATTTGGAGCTACGGGACTGTAATCCAACGATGACGTCCATATCAAGTTTAAGTTTGCTTTCTGTGCTTGTTCTAGAAAAAATTCCAAACTTGTTCTCTTTGCCAGAAGGGCTCTTTGCATCAGCTAGTCTGTCTTCTTTAAAGATCTTATCGTGCCCCAAGCTTCGTTCAATGCCTTTGGAGATTGGAACCCTCACTGCTTTGAAATCACTGACTATTAGTTGGTGTGATGAGTTGTCCTATCTGCCACAAAGTTTGCAGAACCTCAAGAGTCTGGAGACACTGGAGATTAGTGACTGTCATAGTCTAATATCCATGCCAAATGGTGGAATTGCAAGTCTAAGTTCTCTTCGAACTTTGTCTATTGAGAACTGCAGCAATCTGACTTTTTTGTCATCGAGTTTGGAGCATCTCAAATTTCTTGAGCACTTGACAATAATGTATTGTCCAAAGCTTGGTTCTTTTCCAGAGGGCGTGCAACACCTCTCTTCACTTCGAAGTTTCACTATCTTGAACTGTCCTTGGTTTGATACTCTACCTATTGGATTAATGAATCTTCAAACGCTGCATTGCTTGGAAATTAGTAGCTGCCCTAACCTAGATGCTTTGCCAGACTGGTTGGAGAATCTTGCTTCACTTAGATCACTAACTATATCAGACTGTCCTAATTCAAGAGTTCTGCCACCAGGCCTCAAGTATCTCAAAGAACTCCAGCACCTCTCCATTCAGGAATGTCCCGAGCTAGAAGAAAGATGTAAACAAGGCAGTGGTGAGGATTGGTTGAAAATAGCTCATGTCCCACACAAGTACATTGGCTCACCTGATCAAGCCATGCAGTCTGACAAAGCAAGCACATCCAGCAGCTCTTCTTTTTGAACATCTGTGCAGTAAACAAAACTTGTGTTTCATATCATCATCAATGTGCTATCATCGTTATAATCGTCATTCCTCTCGGTGGGATAAGGCTCTGTTGTTATTGTTGTTGTTGTTGTGTGTGTTTCCCGTACGTTTTTGTTTATATGGATGAAGTTGTCAACAGGGATTAAGAACTTTCTTGTTTATCAACTTGCTACTTTGTTGAAATTGTCGCCATTTTACATTTCATGTTGAGGGTTTAAACCTTGTTTGGAGTATCCGATAGGCATTAACCTTCAAACTAGAAACTAAACTTGAAACTTTGCACCTAAATGGAATTAGGTAAATTAAAGGATTTTGCTCTCAGTTAATTACACTTTGTTGCATAAGGTAAATTTTGCTAAGATACAATCAGTGTTTATTATGATCTAGTACAACCTAAAATTATGATTACAGAAAACTTACAAAATTAAACACCAAATTGATGTAATTTGAAATTTAAGCCTCGTTTAATATATGAAGATGACTATTCACTATATTGAAGACAGTCTAAAGGGAGAAATGCATACAACTTTCCTATTTTGTCTAAGTTTAATATTACTCATTATGAAAAATTGTCTCTTTTAATTCTGCCATTCTTGTGGTGACTATCTCTATATGCGTATCCTTCGATTTGGACAAAATATAAAAATTCTCATCGATCATTTTCCTCCTTCAAAAATGCCTTCAATGTAATGAATAGTTCTATCCAAATTAGTTCTCCCTATCGAATGAGGCATAAAGTCCTAAAAACCTTGCATAAAATATTAACGAAAATAAAATAAAATTACTTAGGGTACACGCAAAAACAAAAAGAATTTTCCCTGGATTTTCTATTTATTTACAGGGTAAAAAGTTGCAAAAGGAAACTGACCTTTGCTTTTACAGAGGGTGCAACCTTTTTTTTTTTTCTTTTCCCTATAACATCTTTCTTTTGGTTTTTACTCAAATTTTCATCAAAGTTTGGAAAGACATTGGTATCCAGAAATTCTACAATTGAAACTTAAAGATAATATTCTCAAACGCTTTTTTCTTCGCCTTCTTTTCTCAAGAAGAAGAAGAAGATGGTTTCATGGTTTGAGAGAACCAGTGAAATTTTCCAGGTCTTTATATCCGAAAGGAAAAAAATGAGGAAGCAAGAAAGAAAGAGAGATAATAAAAAAAATACTAATTTAAATCTATTTTTATTTATTTATAATTATATTTGGTAGTTGGAGTTGGGATCAGGATTCTTTCTGGATCTAAGGATCCTGAGCCTAGGAATCAATTGATTCGGTCAGTTGAAATTTGATTCAACAGTTATAATTATTATAACTTTTAGTGAGACTCCCTGTTTGTAACTGTTGGATTAAATTTCAATGGGTCAGATCAATTGATCCCTAGGCTCAAGATCCTTAGATTCGGAGAGGATTTGGATCCTTGGAGTTGGACCCAAATAATTGTTAAAAAAATTAGAGAGTTTTTAGCATACTGTGAACGGATAATGATAGGGAGACTAAATTTATAAATCGCATGATATGGTTATTGATGATTAAATTATTACTTAAGCATTGATTAATGTAATTATTTTCTATTGGTGACACATTAAGATTTAAAATTTTGATCTTCCTAACATTACCAACCATGAACGGATTTCACTCTTGTCTGACTCCTTGTACTTTTTTTGAATGGATTTCAAGAAGTCATTTGCCATTGATGTCTCTGGAAAATCATCACGCACCACGTCGGTCATTGATCTCTTAATAATCATCAAGCAAATTCTGTTGGACCTTTCCCATTTCTCATGCTTGGATTTCAGGCTTGCTGTGCTTCCATCAATAGGCACCGATGGTTCCTCAGTTCTCAATGCTAGATCCTAGTCCATCACACCAAGCACTATCTCCAAATCTTGCTTCCACATTTTATAATTAACTCCAGTTAAGGGTTCCACCGTATTCAGGCTCATGGAATTGAGGTTCATCACTGAATACACAACATGCAAAAAACTTTAATCTTTATGCCCCAATACCTTATGTCACAAGTCTCTACATTTTTGAATCGAAGAGAACTCGTGAACCTTTTTCTTAATCATAATACTATCATAGTTTTGTTTGAATTTCTATGGTCATATCAACATGCCTTTGCGGTTAGTAAACATGGTTGGATTCTAACAAGAATGTATAAAACATTATGCCACTTGAAAACCAAAAAATATGAATGTAATTTTCTTTAGATAAGTATCGGTTATGTTTCCAATATTCAGCGCAAGTACTGGTGTTCAGTTCTTTGTACAACATATGAGCAAGAAGAGCTTTAGCTAATACATGCCCATAATTTATTTCTTTATGGACTCGAACCAGTTCGTATTCTGCAAAAGAAAGAAGACAATTTCTTGTGCTTTTCACATAGGGTTAAAGATAACCACTAACCTTGTGAAGCTATTGCAGCAGAAAAACTAGAGCTCTTCTACACTCAACACTACTGTATGCAATTAACAAACAATGGGGCTTGAAACCTTTACGGCAATTTATCGAACACTATGAAGACTATTGAAAAACGAGACTCGAATTGCCAAAATCGGTGTCCAAAAAGCCGTGATCGCCGCCATGCACCACCATACGACCCCACCTGTGGGTGGTTGAGGTGGTGGCCGAAAAAAGGAATACTCCATTGCTGGAAAAAATATTTTGCTACCGTAAATGGAATATTCCGTAATCAGTAATAGAATATTCAGGTCAGATCGGGTTGTCTGTCTATACTGGGTCGTCGAGTTGCTGCTGTGCAAGCTGGGATCCTCACCGGATTCTAGGTATTTTCTCCGGAAAACCTAGAGACTTCTCCTCTTCGACCATTTCTCAACCACTTTTCACGTGGTATATACCAAAATGAAGTTTGGAATTAGAGTGACAAGATTACACCTAACCTGAGGCCAAAATGTGGCCAAAGATTGCCTGAAAACGGCCTGGAAGTTGTAGCCCGAATGAGGTTCTATACTCTTTGGATCTACTACATCAATCCTCACGTGCAATACATGAAACATAACCTACTCAACATAAGGAAGAGAATGGTGGGGGCCACGTGACTTACCTCTGCCAGAAACGACGGGATTCTCACCGAAAAGCTAACCCCGCTTCGTAGTCTTCGAGTCGGCATGTCGAGTTTGAATTATAGAAAAAACAGAGGTCATGGATGTGTCCGTTCTACTTGTGTTCACACGTTTATGTCACCGAATGCTACAAGAATATGTTAATTTGATAAGTCATAGGTGTAACAACGAAAATGTCGATCGAAGTCAACACTATCCTCTTCCAACCGGTCACTTTCCACCTTTGGAAATAAAAATAATAATAACTTACATAATGGGTCATAGCTAGGGATAGGCAGCAGTTACAACGGACAGGTAACCGCAGTTATTTACCCATACCCGTTTATGTTTATACTCGCATAACCGTTTACCTATTGAGTAATTGTTTAACCGTTTATAAATGGTTAACCGTATCCATAACCGCATACTCATTTAACCGTAACCGTAACCGTTTACCAGTTTCTTAACCCGTTCATCCCTTTTTTTTTTACCCATTTACCTTTTTTTTCACCTGTCTATATGTTTATTTTAACAACTTAAAAAATAAAAAATTGTCATAAATTTCTTTTTTTGACAATTAAATATCGTTATAGGTACATTTAGCATTTATTTCGGTATTTTAATCTTTTAAGTCCTTATACCATTTCAATAATCATAAAACTTTTAAAAACTCAACGTAGTCATTATCTTGAATGCTAGATAATTCAAAGCTCCAAAATATTTCAAAACAAAACTTTCAAACACTTTAATGCTTTAGATTTTTTTTAAAAAAAATTCTTTACATATATTAAAATAAATGGGTATCCGTTATAACCATGGGTAATACCAATAACCACTCATTTAAATTTTACAGGTAAACGGTTATACCCATAATCGTTTATTTATCTAAACAGTTACTCATAACCGTAAAATTGACGAGTAACTGCAGTTACTCATACTCGTAAGTATTTTGCCCATCCCGCCACTACTACTAAGACCACCAACTACCATATCATCCATCACCCCCGTCCAATGACCATCACCACCTTCACCCTTGTGACCACCACCACAACCTCCATCACCATCAATCACCACGTCCCACCACCATCATAACATTTTCCACCCCATTACCCCCACCACCATGACCATCACCACCTCTACCTTTACGACCACTATCACAACCACCAGCACCACCATCTCCACCCCATTACCTCACCACCACTCCAACTAACATTGCTACCAATACCATGCTCATGTCAACCACCTCCTCAAAGTTAGTAGACCCTATATTTTTGCTAGAGCCCAGTATCACGGGCACCTTTAGTAGTGATTGGTGCAACAAAATCAATTCTGCTAGGAGATGCGGATATAAAATAATTGATTTTCATGCCGAACTATATGAGCGCAGAAATACTTAGGCCATCTTTTAAATAGATGAGATACACAACTTAACCAAGCAACTACACACAGAGAATCCAAATCCCCACAAACAACATATGATTCCAAAATCCAGATAATTACTCCGACTTTATTTTGTTTTATTTCTCTGGGAAGGAGATACGAGTGGGGAGAAGGTTTTATATTCAAAATGGTCCCTAAAGATTATGTCATCTTACTTTGGTCTTTGTGGCTTAAAATAAATAGGAGTGGTTATTGAGATTGTTCACCATTAATTATTTTGGTTGTTCTATAAAAAAAAATTTGTTAAATTGAAGATATTTTTGTCAAACCACCAGTTCAAAGGGAGAAGTTGATTTGATAAAAATACATTCAATTTAACGGAGATTTCTCATAGAATGATTAAAATAATTGACGGTGGATAATACCAAGGATCATTTTTTTTAATTTTAAATGACAGGGACCAAAGGGAAAATATAACAATTTCAAAAATCATTTTGGCTAAACAGTGGTGAAGAGAATAATAATTTTTGGAAACATTGATGAAACTTTGTCAAACTCAAACTCCAAAAGCGGTCAAACATTAAAGTTCGTGGAGCTTTACTGTAAAACTCGCAAGAAACGAAGCCTTCGGGGAGGAGGGAGTAGGGTTGAAAGACGCACACATCTCCCACACAACTACCATTCCAAGTTCCAACTTTCAACTCAGAAAAAATAAAACCATTTACATTACTTTTTAACTAAAGATAATTTTTACCGGATTAAAGAGTATTAAAAGTATATTTTACTCCACCTCTATGGCTCAAAAGGCAACAAAGTCTTCCGAAGAAGCCAAGCCCCGTCTGGCGGAGACAGCCATGGTTATTGCTTCAACAGCAGCTCCCGCTCCTTCCTGGTTCACGCCCAAGAGGTCATTGATTCTCTTACAGTTTTGTGTTGTTTTTTTTTATTGGGTTCTGTTCTGGGGTCTGTTTGGTTGCTGAGAAAATATGGAAATCAAGAGAAAGTCTTGACCTTTTTATATCTTTTTGGATTTTTGATTGTTTTTGTTGCTTGGGTCTGGAAAATACACGGTATTTGTATGTAGGTTTCAGAAATTTGGTGATTTACTGGAAATTCGGTTTTTCTCCATTGTGGGCACTAATGCTTTTTCTGTGAAAATTATGGATGGAAGGGGAAAATTGTGAGAATTGTTGGATGCTTAATGAGTTAAACTAGTTTGAAATTGAAAGGATGAGGTGATGTATCATGTAAATGAATGCTGTGGAGTTAGAATATATTTATAAGTTTGAGCTTTCAGCTGGGTTGAGTCAAATGTCATATGAAGGTTTTGCAAGACTTTTGAACCACTTCACTATCTCTTTTTTTGTTCGGTGAGTAATAAATGTCTTTCTGCTCTGATTGCAGGTTACTTGTTATCTTTTGCTTGATTAACTTGATAAATTATGTGGACCGAGGAACAATAGCAAGCAATGGTGTCAATGGGAGCCGCACAACATGTACAGATAGTGGTATATGCACGGCTGGTACTGGGATACAGTAAGATTCTAAGAACTATCTGATGGTTTCCTTATTTCTCTGGTTTTCATATTTGGTTGTCTTTATGCATTGCTTGATTTACTTGAATGTACAAAGTTTTCAGGTTTTTGCCTGTAATCATGTTCTAAGTGCTACGGTACAGAAACGTTATTGAGATTTCTGAAATAAACAAGTGTGTATCCGTATCAATTTGTTATTGATATAAAAAATGTCATTTGGTTTTCTAAGAGCACTGTATTTGAGAAGTTGTGCAAAATTGTTCTCCTATTAATATACTTAGCTGTGGTGTGTGAAACATACCACCAACTACAGTCTGCATCAGTATTGAGACTTTGAGGTCGAGGCAGTTGTGGATTGTCTGCATTTTATCCATTTTTAATCAATTTCTCTTCTTTTTACTACACGGTGCTTGCAACATGCAGTCTTTTGAGATAAGTATCTTCCTTTCTAATATAATATTTGTCTAACCCTTCTCACAAGTTCCTTGGGTATACGATTTGCATAGAAATGCTTTCGAACAATTGTTTGAAAAGCTTTGTCCAGGTCACCTTTTATACTTCATTTACATTCTATGCCATTGTTTTGGTTATTTTTAAGCTACTCGTGGGCTTTTCCTTTTCTTGTATGTGTCCTGCATGTGATAATTGTTTTCCATTTTCTTTTTCCTCTTTTCTGATAAATGTTTTACTTTCCATAGAAATAGAAATCATCCTTGACTGTACTAATATCCTTAATTTCTTTTTGTTTGTAGGGGGGAGTTTCACTTGAACAACTTTCAAGATGGAGTTCTATCATCAGCTTTTATGGTTGGACTTCTTATTGCTTCTCCTGTATTTGCATCATTAGCAAAGAGGTAACAGTCACCTGTTAGTATAGACTAAACATCAAACAACAGTCATACATTTATGTCTGTCTATGAAGACAATTCTGTTGTGCGCACTCGCGCACACCCCTTTATGTGCACATCTATGAATAATTGGATACACACATATAGATAAGCTTCAAGTGCAAACAGTCTACATGCAGACTTGTTTCATTTGAAAATCAGGCTGGTTTTTGCCCCATTCTTCTGACAAGTGGGTTTAAATTTTAGCACTCGGGCTTTGGGTTTCTGGAGAGATATAGGGTGCCGTCTATGATGCGGTCAATGTATTAAAAGGCAAAGGCGTCCCATGGATAGCCCCGCCTAGGCGTGAGGCGAGCCTCACGGTACCTAAAATTTTAATATATGTTATATAATCATTATATTTATAAAATAGAATACTTTGTTAAACAAATAATTATAACTAAATCAAAGATAATAATTATATTTAGTTTTAAAAGACTCGCCTCTGTGCACACACTATCTTATAAGAAGTGTACTACATGTATGTGTGTGTGTATATATATTTGTCTCTGTGTGTGTGCGCGTGCAGATATGTATAAATTCAGAAGCATTTGGATTTCTTATTTATGCAATTTTAAATTTTTCAGTGTAAGTCCCTTTAGGCTCATTGGAGTTGGATTATCAGTTTGGACCTTTGCGATAGTTGGTTGTGCTTGTTCATTGGGTTTCTGGTCCATTACTATTTTCCGCATGTAAGTAACTTATATCCTTCTTGTTTTATTGATATATCTTTTCCCCAGTTTGTTGCTCCTTGATGGCTCATTTTTGAGCAATCCCGTAATGTGGGTTATTGTTTGATCATGTTTGTTTGTTTTGCTTGTTTTAATTACTTTTCTGTTCTCTAAAGGCTAGTTGGTGTTGGTGAAGCTTCATTTATTAGTCTTGCAGCTCCATTCATTGACGATAATGCCCCAGCTGCTCAGGTATGGTATCTTTTGTTTCACGGCTGCCTAACATTTTAAATTTGTTGGTTTCATTATGATTTTCATTCCAAAAGAATGACGGTGGGATATACTTTTGAAGATTTTGAACCTTATTAAAAAAAGCAAATAACTTGAAAGAAAAAACTACATTACCTTAAGATAAGTAGTTATCTCAATTTTATACAACATCAACAACAACAAAGGCTTTTCCCACTAAGTGGGGTCGGCTGTATGAATCCTATAATGCCATTGCGCTCGGTTCTGTGTCACGTCTTCCGTAAGATCCAAGTACTCTTAAGTATTTCCTTAGAGTCTCTTCCAAAGTCTTCCTAGGTCTTCCTCTACCCCTTCAGCCTTGAACCTTTGTCCCATAATCGCATCTTCTAACTAGGGCATCAGTAGGCCTTCGTTTCACATGTAGTTATCTCAATTTTATAACTAAAGAAAATATATAAGCAAAATATTGTGACCAAACCCATTTAAAATACGGCATCTAACGGATTATAAAAGTTCAAGTTGTACTTTATGTCGAGTTGTAGTTTTCCTGTTTTTTTTCTTTTCTTTCCCTATATAAAGCCACTGTAACGTAACTTGGTCGCTGCCTCATTCTTAGAATGCCATGTGTTATCACTTTGCAGTAGTGTGCCATGGAACGTGTACGATTCCCTGTCAGAAATATGTTAGAGTTGCAGTGGTAGTTGACTTTTTCTAAACTATCAATAGCTTTTCGATATGTTCTTAGCAGTAGGTTTTCTTTTAACACCCACCACCTGTCCAATCATGTAGATATTCTTTTTGATGTTGTATACACCTCATTGCTTTTTTTATTTTATTATTTAAAATCATATATATTTTTAGATTTGCTGTCAAGTGATTTATGCTGTCTATTATTTCAGAAAACTGCGTGGCTTGCTATATTCTACATGTGCATACCAAGTGGATATGCACTTGGCTATGTTTATGGTGGGGTGGTAAGTTATCCTTAATTGCAACATGGGTTAGTTTCATGGGATATATGGTGTCTTGACCCAAATAAATTTTCTAGATAGAACTCTTTATATAAAAAGTGCATGTTTGTTTACAGTTTGAGGGTCCTCACATGTTTCCACGAATCACATTGATCCTTTTTTGGTTGTCTGTTGTTTATATTACATAGGTTGGAAGTCACACCAATTGGCGTTATGCATTTGTGGGGGAAGCAATCCTTATGCTACCATTTGCTATTCTAGGATTTGTTATGAAGCCTTTGCAGCTGAAAGGTCTGATTTGAGGCATCAATCCATTTTTCTTCCACCACATTTCTAAGGGTCGTTGCTAAGCAATTTGTGATTACAGGTTTTTTTCATCCTGAATCTAAAAAAGCAGTTACAGCAGTGGAAACGGCTGTTGAAGAAGTTCAAGGTGCTGATACTTATGGTAATGTGGAAGCTGTATCTACAGATAATGGACCTTTATAAAAACAAACCCATGTCCTCTCTCTGAGTAGCTGCAGAATACCTTATGATTAATTGGAACCTCTCTAATGGGCTATGTGGATGTGAAGCATTCATCGATAAATAACTTTGTGATTTAGGATTTTACCGTCAGTTTATACTGCATAACTGCATTCTTTAGGAGTTCTATTAATTTATATGATAACTTTTCTCAGATTTTCCTTTTGGGATAAAAACTAAGTTGAGTTGAGTTGACATGGAAATTTATGTTAGGATACGTCCATCCAATAAACTTTTATGAAAAATCTCTAAATCCCCTATCCTGTAAGAGGAGTTGCTTCACTAGTAGGTTTCCTCATTTCCTTAAGTTTTCAGGGAGCAAAAGCTCATGATTCTGAATAAATTCTGAACATTGTGCTATGCATTATAAAGTAATGATGCTATGTGTCACGTTAGTTAGCGGTGCTCTTTGGCATAATAACAAATTTTTGAACCATAAATTCTTACGATGTGAAGTTGTAAAATATGTAATTTAAAACTTCTGTTATGTTAGTTAATCGCCTTTTCCTTTGTTTCTGCCTCTCTTTCTTGAAACAGAAAGTACTGCTGATTATGTATTATTAACTTTTTATTTTTATCAGGATAGTGAAGGTTTCTGTTCTGTTAACTGTATTATAGTTACTCTTTTCCTTTGACATTGCTAATTTTGTTTTGAAACTCTGCACAAATTCAGGTATTTCGAATGGTAAAGGTGCTTCCTATTCGATGAAGAAGGATATGAGAAATTCCACCTTACAAAAATCTTCCAAGTGAGTCACTCATCCTTGAGCTCATATGTATGTAATAGATTTCTTAGTTCTACAATCAAAGGTCTTGCAAAATATTAGACAAATACGAAATCATTAAGACATCTAGTTGTAGCAAAAAAATTAGATGAAAACAGTGTTTCATCAAAACTCTAAAAACTACACAATTTGGATTCTTGAAATACAATCTGGAGTGGGCCTACAACAGGTGTCCCTCAATTGAAGCTACCTCTGTGTAATATAATACCTAAAATTTGTATGTTTTTGTATATACCTAGACACACAGCCACCACCTTGATGGGGATAAGCTTTTGGCTTTTTAGCCAAAATGGTCCCTGAGATTTGAAATCAATACAAGTGGTCTCTAAGATTGTCCACCATCAATCATTTTGGTTCTTCCATGAATAGCTACGAAGCATAGACATGCCAGCTTAAGAGCGTATCCCATATCAGATACGGTTTGGGATACGATACGCGCCCAATATGTGCCGACACGCTCCGGATACGTATCTGAACGTATCCGTTGACCAATGGACATTTGGATACGTCGTTGATACGCTTTTGATAAGCGAATCCAACTTTTTGGATACACAACGATATAACCCATCTAGTTGTGAGCGGCTCAGCATCAAATGATCTAACCAGGGGGGAGAGAAAGGGCTCAGAGGGGGAGGGGGGGAGAGGGTTCAGAGGGGGGAGGGAGAGCTCTGTGTAGAAGAGTGTCGAAACGGCGAGATCTGCAATTGGAAAGAAGGTGACGGCGGCATATTCTATTGTGCTAGGTACTTAGGGTATTTTTTGAAGTCATGTGACATTTTCTTTTCAAACCAGGGTTTCTGTTTTATGAGAAAATAATGCCATATATATTTATATTTATATTACAAAATAATGCATATTTTTTAGCATCCATGCCGTATATATTTATATACAATTATTAATATATTTATTAATATATATTAATGCATATTTTTAATTAACGTCTCCATGCCGTATTGTATCCTAATATTTAGAAAATAGCTGTATCACCGTATTCGCATCCGTATCCATGCTACATAGATGAATAGTTATGTTAAATAAAGATTAAAGGGACAAAATTACCCTCAATTTAATAAACAATAGGTCAAAATGATTTGACAAAATTTGAGGGTATTTTTGTCATTTTATCCTTATTTAATGGAGATTTTTCACGGAATGTCCAAAATAATTGATGGTGAACAAACTCGGGGACCACTTCTATCGATTTCAAAATCTTAGGGACCAAAATGAGGAGTTATGCAAATCTCAAGGACCATGTGAGAATTAACTAAGTTTACAAGTTCTTGAATTTTGGTTAGCTTTGCTCAACTTGAAACAATATTCCAGCTATCATAAATACAGTCCTTTTTTTTTCTTAAGGGATAAGAAACACGAAATTTATTAGAGAAAATGCAAGGAATACAAGAAACGTGGACTTGGAGTCCATGAAACACTGTTCCAGTTAACTAAATGACACTCCTTTTTTTAAGGGATAAGAAACACAGGATTTGTTAGAGAAAACAAAAGGATCCAAGAAACATGGTCATGCATTCCATGAAACACCTAAAAGAAACTTAAAAAATACTCCATAAACTTCATTCTCTACTTGAGTTTCTGTATCGTTTTAAGTAGTCAATTATTTCCATGCTCACCCTGTTCATTCAGAGACAATAGTTGAATTACATAAGGAACGTAGAAATTTGGAAAGAATTAAAAGGGTATTAATGAAATATCGTTTAAATGGAACATTTACATATCAAACTGAATATGTTGGACGTTAATTGGCATCGAATCAGTAACCAGGTGGACTTTTAAGTGAATCATTTATGAGAATTGGAAAGATTAATTGTAAGCTGGACCAGCCTATGAAGCTGGTGTAACTTCCTCAGGTGTGTTTTAATGTTGACCACCGTTTTCTCCTCCTAATATATCCTTGAGGGTAAATTGAGCTTCTTGTTTAAATGGTATGCGCATATTTATCATATTAATAGCCTCCATTATAAGTGTCAAATAAAGCAACTGTGAGAGGTCTCATTAGGCATTGCAAGGAATAGCACAAATAGCTGGTTTCGTATAATGAAGTATATGTGGGTTCCACTTGCATGAGCATGACAGTAAAGCATTACACGCCAAACTATTGTTTCGTTTAACTTTCTATGTTGTGTCACGTGCTATTTGTTTTATGGCAGGTCAAAGGTTGCATCAAACATAAAGAATCAAATATCAAGGTTTTTGAATGATATGAAGGTGCTGTTGGTGGATAAGGTTTATGTTGTGAATGTTCTAGGTACTTATCTTTTTCTTTCCCCACCTGCTTTACCTACCAGGTTTTATATATGGATTTCTTTGGTTCATGGTTGTTTCTTTATATGGTTCTTTCACTGGCTAGTTTCCTGAGAACTCATTCAGTGGTGTACTATTTTAGTCGTCATGGCCTTCATCTTTCTCTATATACTAATTCCCTGTAAATGTGAAATTTTCATTCTTAGGTTACATAGCATACAACTTTGTCATAGGTGCATACTCATATTGGGGACCTAAGGCGGGATATAATATATATCATATGGTAAGCGTTTTACTTTGATTGTATAGATTTGTATCATTCAATATTTTTTTCCTTTCCAATTCCGTGTAGTCAAAGTTGATGTTAAGTAGTTAGGAGATAGCTCCATGGTAAAACCTGCTTTAAATTCATGCTCTTTTGGCAGAATGATGCAGATACGATATTTGGAGGTATTACAATCATGTCCGGAATATTGGGCACACTAGCGGGAGGCTTTCTTCTGGATTATATGACTAACACTATCTCTAATGCTTTTAAGGTAATCTAGAATATTTTCCTTGATACCATTATTTAACAAATCTATAAAATCAAAGTTGTTTATATGCAATATTGCCGTTTGTCTTTGGATACCTTGTGTAGTCATTGTCCAATCATCGTGTTCCTTTTTGTTTCTTTGCCTTTGTCTCTAAGTACTATATTCTATTGCAGCTTCTTTCAGCGGTAACGTTAATTGGTGGTGCCTTTTGCTTCGGTGCCTTTTGCTTCAAGAATATGTATGTTTTCCTAGCTCTTTTCGCAATCGGTGAACTACTTGTCTTTGCAACTCAGGTACATTCCTATTCAATGAAATTTTCTCCATTTATTTTTTAGGTTTTGTTCAATTTGCCTATGCTGCCGAACACTGAAATACTTTGTATGGCTCAAAAAGTAGATAATTACAATATCACACTGTTTGCATGATAGATATTTAGTGCCAGACCTATGGAATATTCACTCCTCTTGGTCTTCTATGTTTCCCTTTTGCAGGGTCCTGTAAATTACATTTGTCTCCACTGTGTTAAGCCTAGTATGAGGCCGCTATCTATGGCTATTTCTACTGTTTCAATTCATCTCTTCGGTGATGTACCTTCCGCACCTCTTGTTGGAGTTCTCCAGGTTTGCCTTCCTTTTTATTTCATTATATGTTGTTTAACTTGCAAATGGTCTCATAAAAATCCTTAGTTGCACATTCTAACTGAGTATTCTTCTTTCTTTTGGCTTTGGATTGATTTTTGACTGTGCAGGATGCCATTAACAACTGGAGGAAGACTGCTCTTATTCTAACAGCTGTTTTCTTTCCATCAGCTCTAATATGGTTTATAGGTAAGATTCTTGTCGTTACCCCGATATTTTACCGTGGAACTTCTGAATTTGACGACTTGTCAGGAATTTTAATAGGTGCATGGATATTTGAGTAATTCCCAAATAGATGTCACGTCAGTAAAACTGGAAAAGGAAAATTTTCTGCAAGTACCCAGTGCACAAGCCGGTACTCCACGTGTCACAATACAAGTGGAGTGACACTGAAAAATATATCCTCTCTCCACTTGTATTATGACATGTGAATTACCGGCTTGTGGAGTGGCCCTGATATTTTATCGTGGAACTTCTGAATTTGATGACTTGTCAGGAATTTTAATAAGTGCATGGATATTTGAGTAAGGAAAGTGTTATTGGCACTCCAAAAATCTCATTCTACACTCCTTACAAGTGCATTTTTCTTTCCTAATATAGAAAGTTTGGAGTGTAGAATGAGATTTTTAGAGTGTTAATAACAATTCCCTTTGAGTAATTCCCAAATAGATGTGACATCAGTAAAACTGGAAAAGGAAAATTTTCTGCAAGTACCCGGTGCACAAGCCGGTAGTCCATGGGTCACAATACAAGTGGAGTGATGCCGAAAAATATATCCTCTCTCCACTTGTATTATGACATGTGAATTACCAACTTGTGTACTGGGTACTTGAAAAAATCCCTCTTGGAAAAGAGCAAGTGTTTTTTCTTTTCTTTACCCAATAGTGTTCTTTTCATACATACACTCTATACTATGATCAACACCTGGTGTGAATTTGATGAAGTTGATTGGAATATTGACCATCATTATTACATTTAATGGACCGAAATCGAGATCAGCCCTTAGATTTGTAATCCTCGTTTGGCCACCGTCACAGGAATCTTTCTGCACAGCGTGGATAGATTTAACGAGGAAAGTGAGCATCAGATCACCACCAAAACCGAAAAGTCAAGCACAACGCCATTGCTTGAAGGGAAGAAGATGGAAACAACTGAATCTGTTGCTGAACCATGAGACAAGATACTTTTCTTTTATCTTTCGTTGCAACCAGTCACATATCCAGGCCTTGTTTAGTAGGTTGTTTTAGTTCTGTACATACGGTCTCAAGTGCAGTAATTTTCTTTTAAAAGTTCTACTTTCCAATGCATATGTTCATATTTGTTCTTCATTTTGAATTTTTTAAGGTTGTACAAAAATGCATGTTAATAACCCGACCATTTTCTTGCCTTTGGCATGTATTTTCAATTCGATAATTTGAACTCTAAACATTCTCTTGTCCATTTATTATCTTATAAGTAAATAACCTTCGGCCTCGTTTGGTGTCTAATACTGAATTGTATTGGATTTAATTGCTCAATAGATTCAACTTGCATTGAAAATTTGATGTAACTTGCAAACCTTGTTCAAGTTGAAGGAAGAAAGTGTATTAAGCCATGGAGGAACTTCTCTCTCAATCCGACTACTTTTATAGGGATTGGAAGAATAAGTTCTTTTAACGTTCAAAATTGAGAGGTCCATAACGACCAATATCGTCAACCCTTGATGGACTTGGACTAGAGGTTTAGATTATTGACTATAAGATTTAAGCGGTTCATCATCAAAACTAGTTTATGTCCACTGTAGTATATGTGAGGTGAATAATACAAAGTGCTCAACGAGATTTTTTTTTTTTTTCTTTTGTGATTCCGACCGCATATAAGAGGCACTCGTCCCTCTTATATAGGCTCCAAAAGTCTTGGGCTCACCGCTCTTACATTAAATGAATACATGTGTAGACATAGCTTGTTGCCTACTCCTTCCGTACTCAATCGACACGTGGAGTTGCCTTTGCTCAGGGCTAGTTGAAAGGCTTCATGGGCCAACACATAATGAGTGCTTTGCTCGGCCCTAAGGGGTTGAGGAAGCATTGTCCAACTTAGTATGACAACCTTTATGTCACTTCATAGGCCTCTTCTCTTGTTGATGGTCAACATATGGTCCAGAGTTGATGTTTGAGTAGGCATGTCACTAGGGTTTTGTGTTGTAAAGTTGTTAATTTGCCGATAGTCTTTAAGTGTCCGGCAAGTACTTTTTGAATAGGTGCTCATTTTCTTTGTGAATAGTAAACCAATATCGGTGGGCGGTTGTCTGTAGCGGTTGCCGTCAATCCTTGTGATGCCCAGTCGTCTGGTTTCACTGTGTTGGCTCACAAGCCCAATTCTTTGATTTTCTTTTCTTTTCATGTGCCTTCTACAAGCCCACCTTTGTGGGCTAGGATGAGAGTTATATATTTTGAGAACATCGATATTTTTACTTTAAAGGAAATGAAAGTTTGGCTAAGCAATATAGTAAGCAACCTAATTTGGTATTGAATTAACTGTAAATGAGATTTGAGCCCAAGACCTCTCACTTCCAAATAGCACATCTATATATATTTTAAAGATTTAAAAGGACCCTGCATTAACAAGTTCCTTCACAGCTAATTCTTTATTCAACATATAATTCAATTCCTTTTTGCCTTGGTTAAGGCCCGCCCTGTGTCATGACATGTTCAAACGTCGCTCCAACGCAATGATAGAATAACAATTTTTTTTTTTTTTTTTTTTTAAGGGATGTTGGGGGTAGGGATGGGCAAAATACCTGCGATTATGGGTACCTGCGGTTATCCACTTATTTAAACTTCACGATTACGGTTATGGGTAACCATTTAGCTAAATATAACCGTTTACCCGGGAAATTTAAATGGGTGGTTATGGGTATTAATCGCGTTATAAATGGGTAACCGTTTACCAATTTATTTTATATATGTAAAATTAACATAAACCATATTCTCTATCGGACAAAACTTAGATCAATGCTATTGACTATAGTGCATGGTTTATATAGCTAATTATAATATAATGTAGCTCATTATATATATATTATGTTAATACTTTACATTATGGGTTAAATAACCCAAGAATAGTGTCTTTTAAACAGTTTTCTAAACCCAAGAATACTTGGCAAATATTATAAGGAAAACTAATGAAAATGGTTTGAAAACTTTGAGTTTGAACGAGAATGACAAAATAAAGGATAAAGTGAATAGTACCAGGATTGATTTTTTAGTGTAAAAATGTGGTTTTTCGTTAAAGTGAACAGTACGGGAGCTTTTTGTTAAAGTTTTCAATATTATATTACCTTCATTGGTAATAGTTAAAAATATCGTCTGTAAATTATTATTTCAATTATTGGAATGGCATAAGGATTTAAAAAATTAAAATACAGAAATGTATGATAAATGTACTCATAACGATGTTTAATTATCCAAAAAAAAAGAAAATTATGAAATTTTTTTTTTAATTTTCAAGTTGTTAAAAAACATGAAGACGGGTGAAAAAAAGGTAATGGTAAAAAAAAAAAATAGAACTTTTAACGAAAAACTCCTGATAATGTTCACTTTAACGAAAGACCACATTTTTACACTAAAAAGTCAATCCTAATACTATTCCTTTTACCATTTATTTTGTTCTTATCATTAAAACTCAAAGTTTTCAAGTCATTTTCTTTAGTTTTCCTTATAAAAAAAAAAAAAAAGAAAGATAAACGGGTTAAAAAGGTAAATGGGTATTAAACGGTTATGGTTAAATGAGTATGCAGTTATAGGTATGGTTAACTGTTTATAAACGGTTATGAGTATAACTGTTTAGGCAATTATCTAACAGGTAAATGGTTATGTGGGTATGAGCATAAACAGTTATGAGTAAATAACCAGGGTTACCCACCCACCATAACCGTTGCCCATCCCTATCTGGGGGGACACAATTTCCCTAAAAATCAGTTGGTTAGAATTTCATGAATAACAAATTAGATACTAATGTATTTTTAAACTCTGAGTGTAAATATATAATTGTATTTAAAATACAACAAAAAACTAGTTGGCTTAATATGTAGCTTTGCCGCGAGTAAACGTAAACCTGAATTTCACTTGGGAGTTGATTTTCACACCTTTTTTGGTTTCACACCCTTCTTTGTGTGCTATCCACTCGTTTTTTCCTTTTTCATACTACTCAATTTCAGGCCATCGAATTCTCAATCTCAGGCCCTTAGATCAAATTAATTGAAGATGATCAAATAACAAAAATTAACAAAGGGTGTGTGAAACAACAAACATAATTTACCTGAAAAAAATCAAGTCCTTTAGTAACATCGCGCGGTCATCTCCACCTTCACTAAATTTGTCACGTGTTAAAAAACTCACTTGCGAAAGCATTCAGGGCATCATCTCTAATGAATAACATCTCCGGTTCGTCAAAAGGAATTATCTCTAATGAATCACCAGGAACTCAAAATATATTTAAGCGCATGGAGTTCAAAGTCTACTGATATCTATGCAAGTGAGAGGTCTCCAGCAGGAATTGATCTCTTGACAAGCTTTGCCCACGATTCATTGGTTTCGGTTATGACCTTAAGAGCATAATCCTGTTCATCATATGAATTGCTTCCATAATTAGATATAAAAAAAGGTCGCGCGCACGCGCGCACAGAGGTCGTATAATTCATATGTAATGTTCTGCAGATTGTGGTATTGTAATTATTCTATGCTTATACAGGAAAAGCAAGAGAAGAAGGTGAAGTGTGACAATTAGTGTGTGCTACTGTGTAGTGGACAGTACCAAATCAACACCAGAAAAGAATTTCCAGCAGTAAATAGACAGGAACAAAGATAATCAACAACCAATACGCACGAAGTTAGAACATCGATAATTAAGTTTTAGAGGTGACAGACCCGGGAGAGAAGTTTATATTCAGAAATTTCTGAATTTGCTGCGTAAAACTATGCACAAAGCCTCTTAAAAGAGTAATTCTATAGACTTAAAACTCGAATCATAGCCCTTGATTTCTTAATAAATAATCATGTAATCCTATCCAAAAAATTAAAAAAAAAAAACAAACAAAACATAGAGAAAAAACAAAAGGAACCATAAATCTGATTGTTTGTGATAAGTTGATAAAAGATGCATGCAAATACTTTAGACTCACACAACTGTCAGATGATTGATTAAAAAGACAAGGAGTTTACCAAATAAAACATGAAATTCAAACAAAACAAATAAAAAAACAAGAAACAACTAAAACCCTAAAGTAACTAGAACCCGAGCCAAGTTAGCTATTTATGATGGGAGGTATATGTTCCTGCAAGCCATGACCACTAACTAATTTCATAACGATGCATGAATAGAGACTTGTAATTACTGTCCAGCTAAGGTAGATCATGAATCGTGTTTCGACTGCCTTCATGTTGTAGGACATCAATTTGTTTAAAGCATGCCCTATTCCTGAATATTGAGTCCATACTACGTATCAAACGTATCAAGATTAGAAATAAATAAACTGCAAAGAAAACTGGTATGTCACCCTTAACCTTAAACCCTTCCACTGCCCCCCAATACCACTGCCTGGTTTTGAAGTACTCTTTATACACTCAAGTCCGATGACCATAAAGAGACATTCTTACATGAATTATGAGTTTAAGTATGCAATTATTGAACACTTTCAAATCAGAAAATCACATTTGACTTGGACGAATGCATTTTCTAAACCCATCAGTATGTGTACTAGAACAAACAATTGGGCTATAAAACAGGAGTAATACTTTGATGACCTTCACCCTTCCCCCTAAACTAATTTTGTAATTAGATCTTGTCATGTCTCCTTGCAACACTGGCACTTTGCAAGGAGCACTATGCTCCTAGGCCAGAGTGCCATCGAAAGCTGGTGACTGAATCAATAAAGGAATGAATAATGGGAAGAAGAAAAAGGAAACACTCCATAAAATTGATAAAAAAAAAAAAAAAAAAAAAAAAAAAAAAAGGAACAAAACCAATAGAGTAATAAAAAAGGATTCACAGATAGAATTGAAAAGGCCACTGTAAAATTACCTTGTTGGCTGCTTTGTTGCCAAGACCAAACTTGTTAGCAGGCTTTCCATCAGGTATCTTGTAGTCTCTAAACCAGTCCCTTATTGCAGTGAGAGTCCCCTGAAGTAAACCATACGATTAAGCCTCAAAAAGCTTAGTACTTAGTTGATCTAATTTATGAAGGTAGATAAATTGTAACTAAACAGTAATGTATATCATAACCATCCACTTTGTTCAAAAGAGTTTAGGTAGACTTTATCCATTTTTCGTACAGTAATCATATCATGTAACAGCAATAAATTTAAAAACTGAAAACATCTATATTTAGATACATTAATTACGGTGACAATGGTTGGTGAGTGCATAATTACAGAAATCTGATAGTGGTTGGTTAAAATGCAGTACATACCGGGAAATGCTTCTCAACATCATCAATGTCATTAACGAGAGAAGCCCTTGGATCATCCAATGAAATTGCAACAATTTTCCAGTCAAGTTCCCCTTCATCAATCATAGCTAAAGCAGCCAATGGCTTTACTTTCAGAATCTCACCTATCTTTCTCCGACTATCACCTATCTCAACAACATCAACTAAAAGTTGTTGAAAATACAAGAGCTTTAGTTTTCCTTCTAAAGTTGGTACTTCCCTCGGGCAAAAGTTGGCAACATAAAAGACAGACAAGTGAGCAGACCTGGATCATTATCCCCAAATGCTCCTTCAACTTCATTGTTAGCAAGAGATGGGTCTTCCCATGTTTGTGGGAGCAACCCATAATTCCAATTAATATTGTAGCTGAGAAGGATAGGTAACATAAGATAACTTTTTTTGATACAACAATACGTTTACACTAAAGGGCAGGGAACATATAAGATAACCTTAATGGTTTGTAGGACAAACAACTAAACTTAAATATCAAACTCTTGCTATAGTGTTACTCATATGTGCATGTGCTTCTCTGCGTGCATCTATCACCCAGGAAAAAAAAAATCGTGCACCTAAGAAACTAAACAAATAAAGATAATCAGCACCAACAGTGGCGTACATATATTCATGGTGCACCCTTAGCCAAAAATTACACTGATTCAGGTACCATATAAAGCACCAAGACAAGGACAAACACTGTAATATAACCTTAAGAAAAGTAAAATTAGACCTTACCGATAGTAACGAAGTTTTCCCTTCTTTGTATCCTGCTTTATCGGGGTGTGTGGCTCATCAGTAGCAACCTCCATCTTTGCACTCGATTCTTTGGGTATTTCAACCACGAAGTTGAATGCACCGTCACCCACTTGCAAAGGTATATCATGCCAAGGAGAAACCTAAGTATAAACCAACACGTTGTTATAGCAGATTGAAACAAAAATGAACTAATTGGCGTGTGGAAACCCAACCATGTCTCCAACAACCCAGCATTTTGAATCTTCTTTTAGAATTGCATATAAACATTTTCTCTTTTGAACACAAGTTCGAAGTACGGATACTCAGAGTTGTTGTTCTATTTCCCCACTGAAAACAAATCGAATCCCGAAAACTCAATCAAATTTGAAACAGAGAGACCTCAATGAAGCAAATGATATATGCCATCAACTCACACATTTCCCTGCCCATCAGAAGCTGCCATATAATAACCAAAAAATTTTATATGTGTACAAGAAATATACGAATTCCTGAATTATAACCCCATTTGATACATTTATAGGAAGCTTTCACATTATCCAGTTTTTCCTGCATTTTCTCAGAATCCAAACAAACAACACAACAGAAAATGGAAAGACCATAGACCTTTTGACCGGAACGGTCGACGAAGAAAAGGCGGTAATCTAGTGTTTCGGGCTGGCCTTCCTCCTTGATCTGAACCTCGGGATTGTAGATAGCTGTGCAATTGAAGGGCCTCCTGGAAGAAGACGACAACGACAGCGACACTGCTCTTCTTCTGGTGAAGCAAAGGCTGGTAGTGCTGTAGGGACTCAGCTTCGTGGGGAACGACGTCGTCTTGGAGATCAAGCAGGAAGTATTGGCGGCGGTCAGCACTCTCGCGGTGGCCATGGCTCCCTGACTGGTGAAGGGACGAGTGGCAGTTTGTTAGTGGTATGCTTTGATTGGCTCCTGTCTCTGTGCGTGCGCTCCAGTTTTATAGGAAAGAAAGGACTTCAAATCTTCCGTCCCCGTTTCCTCGAAATTTTTTTCATTTAATCCGAGCACACGAGTAATACGTGTGTTTTTCCGTGGACAGCAGAAAATTTTAATATTTAATTTATTATTTTATGAATAAATATATTTTATTATTACTATACGACTCGTTATATATTACTTGTATTCTGGTTATATTAAAAAATCTCCCCGTTTCCTCTGTCTCTCCTCTGTACCCTTGCTAAATTGTTGCCACCTGTACATTCACTTAATAAATTGCGAAATTGAAACCTATCAATACGAGGCCGTTTTGATAAAAGCAAAACCCAGCAAACACAAATCCCCGCCCACTTCCTCCCTCTTCCTCCCTCCTCCTGCCGCCCGCCGCCCGAACACACCACCGTAAGAATCCCTGGCTGCAGTGCAGACCTCTCTCTCTGTCTAACGCAACTCCGCCAGTCCAAAGTGAGAAACGTTAACGGCGCCACAGAAATGAAGGTCAGGGTGGTGTGTCGGAAAGTGTGTGATTACATTCGTTATGATCTGAAAGAGATTGCATTCCCATCTTCGCTACCGGACCCTCCTCATATAAAGAAGCGTCGTAAGCTCACCTGGCATGAGCGGTTCTTGGTATGCCCTTTTCATTCATTTTCATTATACATATAGATATAGGCTGTGTAGTTAATCATGCTCATATCCGATTCATGTAACTCACTCATGGATCATGGAAGTAATTACAAGTACTGGATTGTTAAAATGCTTTTGGCAAGTTGATTTGGGGAGTTGTTTTGACCTTTCAGATATCAGAAAATACATTTCTTAACAATTGTCTGAAATGGCCCTTCATGGAGAAGTAGTATTGAGGTAACGGATAGGTGCTTTCCAGGAAACACTTGGGTTATTAGTAAAATATTTTTATGTGCTTAATTGCTTTTGGTAAAAGTACTAATCATAGAAGTGCTATTGAGCAGAAGCGTTTGTGTGTTTATCGAACGTGTGGGTTGGGTATATATGAGCCTTTGATTTTGGTGGGTGTAACCATTTGTTCTTTCTTTGGCGTATTCTGATATGAATTTTGATTATAAGGTCAATTGTTCAACCATAGATGCTTTAAAATTCAAGCTTCTGAGTATCAAAGTTGATTTTGTTTCTGATAATTTAAGCTAGAAATAATATTTGGCTGTTTCTGATAAGTTTATGTCTTGTTTTCATTGAATGTTGACTATGCTTTCATGCTTAGAATATGTTAAAGCTTTTAGTACATTTACGCGTGTGGTGTTAACGTGAAGGATGGTAATTTATAGTATTATACCTTCTATTGGTTGTCAGGTTTTGAAGGAGGCTTCTAGGCTTTATGCCGCCAGCTGGGTGCGGGATGTTGGTCCTGAACTGCGACCTAATGATTATAAGAATGAGGAGAGTGAAGATAGACCTGGTGGAGCACAAAGAACGGCTGAAGGGAAAGAACCCTCAACATTAGAGGATCTTGGTAAGTAATCTATACATTATGCTGCCACATCAATTAGTGTCGCCATTTTAACAAAACTTAAGTGGAAAGCCTGCTTGTTCTATACAATGTATGCATGCATATGACTATGAAGATAATGATTGATGCCCAATAAATCTTTGTTTTTTGTTCTTTGATTTGGTTTGCATTAGTGTCCTGCAATGTTCTTACTTTGGAGTTTAGCATAAATAAATAATAATCAGTGAATCCTGCTACATGATCATTAGATTCTGTCAAATGTTTTACATGCATCAAATCTGCTTGAAGGACAATATGTTAAAAAGTTACTTTTTTAATAATGATTTAGTAGTTGTTTGTTCAAAAAGGAAAAATAGTGATTTAATAGTTGTTTGTATATCCAAACAGCTTAAAAAAAAACTTCTACATATGCTTTTTTGTAAGGCAGTTCTTTCTGGCTGGTTTTGTGTGTGGGTTCACTTTAATCTGTCAATTGCCTGTGTTTCTAAATTTCTGTATAAATTTTGGGTTATGATTGTATGACTGTTACCAATCTGTTGCGACAAAACTCATAGGCCTAGCTCTCTCTTCCCTGTGTTGTTTTCTTTTTTCTGTCGTAATAAGCTTTTCTCATTTCAACACCCCCTTCTCTAACAGCATAAAAAACAAATGAAAAAAGCTTTGGACACCTGACAACTTTTTATGAATACTTAATAAAAACAAAAGAATACTTATTTTCAGTTGCTTCCTTGAAATCTATAAACTTTTCAGTTAAAATGGTTTGAGATCTGATTATGTTTAATGCTTTTTCTCTGGAAATAAAAACAAATAGCTGTGGCCGCAAGAGGAGGAATGGAGACGCTAAAGCCTGCTCTACAGCGCGTGTACATGACAAGAGCTTCTGCATATCGGGATGCTCTTCAAAGTTTTATACATGGGTACCAAGAAGGCATCCAGCAGGTCATGGAGAAAAAGGCAAAAGATTCTAAATCTCAACAAGAAAGTGATAAATCTACTTAACAGCTCTTGTTACGCTTCATAGTTGTTGCTGCACTTACTGACATTCTTCCGAAGTTATGGGGTCATTTTGCTGAGTTCCTTCGACATGGTTCTTTCAAGCGGCTTGTTATCTGTGTCGATTACAAGTTCTCGAGCTCTACTTTTAGCTCAGTTTTAAGGACACCTGCCATGGTTTTTCATTTGAGAACTTGAAAGCAAGTTTAAGAAATGTGAATATTATGTAAATCTGCAATAATTTTTTTCCCTGTTTTGAGACTCATAAAAAATCTGCTTTATTGGAGTAATTAATTTTCACCTTGCCACTCGTGGTGATGAATTTTTACTTGCGGTATATTATTTTCTTGAAAATAAAAGTAGGAACTAGGGGTGGGCATGCAGCTCTTTGGACCTGTGGGTTCGGATCGTATTATCCGGTCTGATGTAAACCATCCGGTTATTATTTTTATTTTCAGAACGGTCCTAGTTGGTTCGGTTTGTGAAAAAACTAGTTCAAAATCGAGTTCATATTTCTTATGTGCTAATGGGGCTGAGACCGTATAAAGGTTGTCTTAGCACTTGGTATTTTATTAGTTGTCTACAATGAATCTCATGATCATAATTCCATTTCTATATGATCCTAAGAAAAAGTAAAACAAACTTTGTTAATATTGGTTTTATTATACGTAATTCTTTTATAATGGAAACACATAGAGATTGAGATTGGTTTTATATTGATGTTTTGTTATAGGACATATGATTGAAAACATATCCGTTCAACTTGTAGGAACTAGATCGTAATGAACGAAACCAAATAAGCCGGTTCCCCTAATAAAAATACATAAAACTTGTGAAATAGTATATTTCGCCCAATTCATTAGCCTTTTGATACAATCAAATAGAAAAGCCCCAAGGGCACATATTATCATGTGAGTGAATAAATCATCCTCTATTCATGATTTGAGAACTCATTCCCCTTCTTCAAACATTACATGGTGCCCCATGCGCCGTGCCCCGTGTAATATAGGCATTTCTCTTATAATATTGCCTTAACATGACTTGGTAATTTTTTTTTTAGATTATATTAATTTAAGATAAGATCCACAATATAAGTGATGATAGAAATGCCGCATTTTATCTCACATTTAAACCATCCATCTAATACGAGCAAGTCCACCTCCCAATTGCTTGGCAATTGGGTGATCGAATACCCCAAAACGCACAAAATCGCTATACTCCAAGCCCAATCAATCGGGCTACAGTGAAAATGAAGTAGGTTGAGGGAGTGTGATGCCATGGTGATGTCAGTCACGTTATATATATTGCGCCAAGTGCGTGGGCTTCTTCATGCTCGCGTGAGCACGAGTGGATCGACATGATGCAGGTGGTGGGCCCTGCGCTGCAGGCTTCAAGGATTGCTACGAATTTGGATCGTTGGATTTCCCAAATTCAATTGTCCGTGTTAATCCATATTAAAAAAAAAATCTGAAAAAGACTAGTTATCCACATGGCACAATCTAAACTCTTGGATTGCAAAAAGAATGTCATCCAACGGTCCATATTTGTGACATCCCGTCCCGAAATTTTGTGTATTTTATTCTTAATAGTGGTGAAATTATCAAAATTCCCTTGAGATGCCACGTAGGCCTTTCACGTGGACCTCAATCTTCTTTTCACTTTTCCACTCTTATGTTATTATTTTCAAGTAGTGCTCATTTTTACAGACACATGGCCATAAACGGAACTCAATTCGGAGTTATAACGAACAAGTTACGTTCGAAACTATATAGAAATACCTGAAACAAATTCAAAAGTTGGAATTTTCTCCTTGTGCAGCATGCACCATTGCATGGGTTCTTTTGGGAGGATTTGGATCCTCTCCAGAGTCTAAGAAAAGGATCCTCCTGACCAACATATGTGGGCCGTTGGATTTTTATGCAGCGGCTACAAACAAGGATGTCTCTTTAAAGTTATAATAATTATAGCCGTTGGATGAAAATCCAATAGCCCACATGTGTTGGTTAGGAGGATCCTCTCCTTGGGCTCCGGAGAGGATCCAAATCCCTTTTTGGACACTAAAATCTGCCTTGTGCAGAGATTTTGCTTGCATGTACTGACTGATGCAAGCGGCAATTAAAACACACACCACTTTTCCTCTTACCTTCTTTTTTATTGAGAACTTTAACGAAAAACTTCAGGTATTGTTCATTTTAAAGAAAAACAACATTTTTATACTAAAAAATCAATCCTAGTACTATTCATTTTACCCTTTATTTTATCCTTATTGTTAAAACTCAAAATTTTCAAGCCCATTTTATTAGTTTTCCTCATTTGTTTTTTTAGCCGATCACACACTCTCTCTCTCTTTCTTTCTCTCTCTCCGTACCTACACACTCAATCATCAATTCTCATCATCACTCACACATCACCATCATTTTCTTTTTTAAAACCGGTTCTCTCTCCCCCTCTCTCTCTCTCTCTCTCTCTCTCTCTTCCCTACTATCTCCTTTTTTTTCCAGTTTTCTCTCCCATAGCTCTAATCACTCTCTCCCTTTCGGTGCACATCAAAACACCACCATAACTACCTCCAAAAATTCTCAAAGCATCACCATCTCCTCCAAGCTTCATGAAGGCTACCAAAAAACACTCAAAACATCAAGGAAACTCGTTCAAAATCTTGTGGCTGTGACTAACTTGGGGAAAAATATAAAGTTTTCATTTTGCATGTTGACGAAATCCGACGAACCAAACTACTTCCGTCTTGGTAAGCTTCAACTCTTTCTCAAGGTTTTCTTCAAGTTCTAGTGAGGTTTCATGCATGCATGCATGTTTCGATGAACATATAGACAATTTCCTAACCCACCATGATTTTCAGCGAGTTGTAGGATTTTTCCAAGCTAAACCCGACCACACCTTGTTGGGTTAGTCAAGTTTGAAGGTGTAGGATGACTCTCCACAACCCCTAGGCCAAAGGTTTGAGTTTGCATGCCCAAATTCACTTTGAAATCGACAAAAACAGAGAACTTCAACTCTGGCTGTCACATTCAGGCCATTGTCCGGGCAAACCACCGTGATTTAGCCATCGAGAAAGGTATCATTCTCTTCATATCGTTGAGAAGTATGATTTTCGTTTTTGAATCACTCAATTTCGTTGAGTATGGAAGAAGTTATGAAAGTTTAAAGTTATGGACATTTAAAGTTTTTGGCGACCTTCGAGGCTTTCAAGCCATTTTTCGACCAAACCATAGCGAGTAGCCATCAAGGAGGTTACCAATCTGTTTGTCTCATCCTACGGTATGATTTTCATTTTTGAATCATTCAATTTTGTTGAGTATTGATAAAGTTATAGACGTTTAAAGTTTTCCATTTTTCCAGCGAGTTCCCTAATTTTCCCGCGGATCAGTCGGCTTTTAGGCCATTTTCTGGCCCTTTCGAGCCACTTTTTGAACTCTAACAGGTACTTCTTGTTCTACACTTTTCTAGCTTTGTTTTGGTGTATTATGGGCAAAATTTGGTTGAGAAATGAACCTGTTATGATCATCTAAAATTTCCCAGCCAAATCGTCAATTCCGAAGGATTGCAGCGGCAACTAGCCGGAGAAGAAACAAAAAACAAAGTGCCCAAACTGAATCCAAGAACCGGTCCAAGCCCACGACCCGTTAACACCAACCTAGATCCGCTCTGGTACCAAAAAAAAAAAGGGCCTAAGTCCATACTTAGCCCAGGTCCATTTCAGATATTTAGAGGGAATATTCTTTTGGAATATTCTGTTAACCTCTATTCCGTTAAAGTTAATTGTTGACCATTAGTTGACTTTTTCAAAAAATTTTCAGATATCCTTCTAGGCTATTTTTGACGTCTCGAGTCCATTTTTGACATCCATTTAGGAAAATTCTGAAGTTTTAATATAGTTAACCACCAGGGCGTCTCGGTTGACTTTTAGGTTGACTGTTGACTTTTTACAAAATTTGCTCGGGACTCTTCTTAGTGTATTTCTACTAGCTGATTTCGAATCCATCGTCCATTTTTTCAAATTAAATCGTTTTAGTTGAGTTTTACTGATAAGACCCAATATTATGCTTAGGTGCAATTACTATCGAAGACTTTGGCTTTTCTAGCTCGAACGGTTAAGACATGTATGTACTGCGAGTGGGTCTTTTGTTTTTACGTATATGTGTGTGTGTGTGTGTGTGTGTGTGTGTGTATATATATCTTTGTGTGTGTGTGTGTGTGTGATTTTCCCAACAACTGCTTTTATATATTATGATGTGACATGCCATGTTTAGCTTTATAAATAGACTTTTCGTACATTTTATGTTTTTAATATTATTTGTGAGTATAAATTTGTGGCATGACATCCTTGCGTTTTATTTGCTCATTATTACATGTTTGCATGGTGTCTCTTTGTCACGCCCTGATCCTGACATCACGTGACGTCACCCAATTACTCATATATCTCACATACCCCGTTTCAAGAATATGACAAATCACAATTCGAGAATCATATTGCAAAGATAGATATATATATATATATATATATATATATATATTACCTTATGGCTACATCTAACCTCCTCGTTAGATTGCTTACGTACCCTCAATAGGGATCAAGTCATTCGTAGTTCACTACCACAAAATCAGACGTTTATTCCACTAAGTTCAAGCAGAAAAGCATAACATTCCTCAATCATTTATTATAACCGGACAACATGTAATTCATGGACTCATGCTACATAACCAATCCCCATGAAAATATGATTTCTCTCCCATCCAACATATAAATCATTATGTCTCATCATGATATTGCAATTCACAACACACATCATATTTAAGAGCCGACGAAACACAAAACCATTATCTAGCCGCATTAATTAATTAATTTGATCAAAGTAATAACAATCATTTTCATATCTTCTAAATTCATACCTTATGAAATCATAATCAAATCATAGAAATCCCGAAGGAGTCACTCAGACATCCAACATCTTTTCTAACTCAATTCACAAGACTCTCGAAATCATTGATACAAATATATATAAAACTAAAGCTAGAGTGACACAGTTAAGCCAAACCCACTTCTCTAAATAATGGGATTTTAGGCCACTCCACGAAATTTAACAACTTCGGGTTCCGGACCACTCAACGGAATCAAACCAAATATAATCGCCTATAAAATGTACCATATACAACCAATCATCATCACCTCTAGAATGCGTATGGTCCCCCATCGCAGATATACCAAGCAGGACCATAGGCATAAACTTATCGTGCATGCAATGATCACCCATTGCGGATATACCAAGCAGGATTATTCATGTACCACTAC